GGGGGGTCGGGGGAAGGGGGGAAGGAGTAGTACTGGCGACAATTGAATTTTCCGCACCGCTGCGCTGTCAATAAGAAAGGCCCTATAGCCCGTGCCGTGCGAGAGCGAATCGGAGTGATGGTGACAGAGAGAGGGAGGGAGAGAAAAAGAGCGAGAGAGGCGAAGGGAGACTGTCCTGCTGGGTGGACACTAGAACGCTACATCGCCCCGCTCGCCTAGCCGGCCGATGCAATTCTTTTGTTCTGATGCACTCCAGTCTGCTTGGTCCGGCCAGAGGTCTGCGAGACCCCCCCCCCCCTTCCTACCCCGTCTCTTGACCAGGCCGCTGATGTCCGGGCCCGTGGGTCCCGGGTCACCCCGCCTTGGACCTGGACCTCGCGGGTCGCGGGCCACGGCCCCGGAAACACCGCATGACGACGATCGTCGCCCTCTTCCTACTCGCGACGTCGCAGCCTCTCGGACAGCGGGAAAGTTTCTCTCTCGTGAAAAACTGTCGCGCTAAGGGTTTCAAACGTTTTAACAGGGAGATGTGTGCGTGCGGCGTGGTGGAAGGAGCAAAAAACCGCGCAGAAATCAGCTGATTTCGGCACAACAAGCGGACGTCTAAAAAAATGAAATTCAAATATTCGAGTTTATAGCCAGCTTGTGAGTGCGTTTTGTGGGCCTGAGAAGAATGATGTGTGAGACGGAAGGGGGGTGGGGGTAAGCTGAGGGAGGCCATTCGCACTCGTCCCTGCGGCATGCGGACCTCAGTCCTCAGTCTGCATGGTGTTGAGCGGGTCAGTGTTCTCTCACCCCGCGGCCCTCTCTCCGGTCTTGCGTGGTCATCCAGTCGCTGACCACAGTGCGGGGGGCATAGGACGAGAAGGGCTCCCGCCGCCGGAGCTCAAACAGATGAAACTTTCGTGATATGCCCGGCTCCCCCCGACGCTTCCCCTTCCCCCGGCAGGTGCCGTGCGCGCTGCTTTTGGCTGAGTCAGCGGGAGCGACTGTCTGCGCGGGGCCGGATACCCATACCGGATCTCCTTGGACAACTATAGAGTATACTACATGGCGCGCCATGAATGAAAAGTTTCCAACGCTTTACTCATTTTTATTTTATTTTGTTTTGCAGGGTGGCTACAAGCTGCAGGTCCTGGACAGTCTGCAGAGGCCTGTGCTCGACCTCACGCCCGTCACCAAGGACTCCGAGTTCGTCAGGACCGACGTGACGTGAGTGTTAGCAGGGCGCGCAGCGTCGTGCGTGTGCGGGCGCCTGTGAGGTAGGCCACCGCGGGCTCGCGCCGCATGGATGTGCGCCCGTTGCCTACCGCGCGGGCGCTAACCGCCGTAGAGGTGGGCAGCCGGCGGGCACCGGTGCGTTGCGGGCGGATGGATTGCCTACCGCACAGGCGCTCCTGCCGGAGCCTCGCCGAGTCTTTCAAACGTGCGCGATTATATGCACGTCTCTTAACGAGGCTGTTGCGTGAAATTTTCTGACGCGTCTTACGTTGTTGCAGCGCGCAGTCGTATGGCGTGCAGCTGCCGACCGACTTCGTGTGCAACGACTGCTCGCTGCGGCTCCTGCGCCAGGCCGACGAGTGGTCCAACAACTACCGCTTCTGGTCCTGCGCTGACGTGGACATCCGGCCAGGTAAGTGAGGATGTCGCATAAGAAAATCGCAGAGCTTAATATTGAAATTTGTTTCTTTTACGATGAAAATGGTTGAGAGTAAGGCAGCAATTTTAACCTAAATTTTGCATTTTTTTGGTGCTCGCCACTCCGGTGTGCAGCCAAGGAGTTCAAGGAGGACTGCTCGGGCCACGGCCGCTACTTGCTGGGCAAGTGCCGGTGCGACCGCCTGTACTACGGGCCGCGGTGCCAGTTCCGGGACGAGTGCATCGACAGCACCGACTGCGGCGACCGCGGCCGCTGCGTGGACGTGCAGGCCACGAGCGCGCCGCGGAAACAGTGCTACTGCGAGCTGGGCTGGTTCGGCCCCGCCTGCACCAAGCGTACGTTGCGTTGCAAACCCTGTGAGTCGTTGTTCGTTCATCTGGAGGTTTAGACGTTACCCTCTGTTCTCTCCAGGCTCGCCCGTGCGCAGCACCGACCTGGACCTGGAGGCGTACACGCGCCGCGACCTGAGCGACAGCTTCCGCGTGTTCTGGCGCATCTTGCACGACGAGCAGGAGATCGAGGTGGTGATGCAGGTGAACGGCACGAGCTACGCGGGGCTGGGGTGGCGCCCGCGCTCGCTCACGGACGCCTGCCGGAACTTCCCCTTCCTGGAGGACCCCGCCGGCGCGGCGGCCGCCGCCCCCGGCGCCGCGCAGCAGCCCAAGAGCGAGCCCGAGCCCGGCGCGGAGCCCGCGGCCGAGCCGGAGGCCAAGCCCGAGCCCAGCAGCGAGCCCGAGCCCGAGGGCACGGCCGAGCCCAGCAGCGAGCCCGAACCCAAGAGCGAGCCCGAGCCCAAGAGCGAGCCCGAGCCCACCGGCGAGCCGGAGCCCAAGAGCGAGCCCGAGCCCACGAGTGAGCCGGAGCCCAAGAGCGAGCCCGAGCCGGCCGCGCCCAAGAAGGGCAAGAACGTGTCCTCGCGGGCGACGCGCGGCCACGCCCCGGCTCACAACGCCGAGCTCCTGGCCGACGCCACGGTCGAGACGAGCGTTTCCTTCCGCGTCAGCTCTACTTCCAAGCACAGTAAGCACAATATTTTATGTCTCTTTCTCGAAAAATTTGAACTTTGCCAATCTTAGTTTCGTTGACTAAATGAAATTTGTGGTTTACTTCATCCTTTTTTTCTGCAACTCCTAGGTAGCCGGAGGTCCAGGCGAGAGGCTGCTGAGGGTAAGTCACACTCGTGGCCACTTGGTTGTATATACACGAGCACACCTGTATCGCACATTCCCCACGTACTGCGGAGTCTTCCTCACTGTACAAAATGCACACCACTAACATGTGGAAATGCATTGCTGTTACAATTGCAGTTTAAGTCAGAAGAATAATTACTCTTTAGCAGATATGTTTTAATGTACATACATTCTATTTCCTTTAGCACAAGAATGTAGCCCTACAGTTTTTGAACTCAATGTGACAACTATGCTTTATTGGTGGTTGGTGTTTTCGGGTTGTGGCACTTTCTGCTTATGTGTCCTCACAGGAGCCCCCGCCCCGGAGCCCAGCGCTGAACCCGAACCCTCGTCTGAACCAGAACCAACGTCTGAACCCGAGCCAAAATCAGAACCCGAACCAACCTCTGAACCTGAACCGAAATCTGAACCTGAACCTAAGTCTGAACCAGAACCTACGTCAGAACCCGAACCCTCTTCTGAACCCGAGCCTAAGTCTGAGCCTGAGCCGAAATCTGAGCCAGAGCCAAGTTCTGAACCTGAACCTAAATCTGAGCCCGAACCAAAATCCGAGCCTGAGCCAAGTTCTGAACCAGAGCCGAAGTCTGAGCCTGAGCCTAAATCTGAGCCCGAACCGAAGTCTGAGCCTGAACCAAACTCAGAGCCGGAACCAAAGTCTGAGCCTGAACCAAAGTCTGAGCCTGAACCCAAATCTGAGCCGGAACCCAAATCTGAGCCTGAACCAAAGTCTGAGCCTGAACC